AAATAGAAATAAAATTTAATTATTAACTTGTGGGTAGATCGGCTTTTTCCGTCATTACAATTTAAATTTATTATTTATTTATTTATTTTTCATGCAAAATAATAGAATGCATTAGGCCACAGGTAAGGGAAAAAGATATCCTCCTCCAAACACACAATTTTAAAGAATAAAATCGTATATTTTGACATAAAGATAACGATATAATGATGCGTTGAGTTTTTTTTACTTCGAAGTTATTGTAAGACTAAGAAAATATCTCATATTTGATATTGCACTATAAAGTGGAAACAAATTGCATTTGTACGCTAACGAAAACTATTCAATATTCAGCTTATAATTTTTTGAGAAAATTAGTTTTAAAAGTGCAATAAAATGTTTGTAAATTAGCTGCTACTTTTCTGAGTTGAATTTTGATTACTGAGACGAAAAGTAAAAAGAATGAATAAATTAAATTTTAATTTTACTATAAAATGTCTTGAAGAAAAGTCAGAGATATCCATATGTATACAAATGAATAAAAACATATATAATATTTCAAAATAGAGAGAATGTAAAAATGAAGCATGTAAATTACTAAACAAAATGCAAATCACGTGAAAAATTTGAATATTACAAGCATATATTTAAAACTTTACTGAGATTTAAAGCAGAAAATATTAATTATACAGTAGAGTCGTTAAAATCTTTAACTGTGAACCAAATTTAAGACATTAAAATTACATATTTTTTGTAAGACTTTTTCATAAATTATTCTAAAACAAACACAATGACAAACATAAATAATTTAAGTAGCAAAAATATCTGTCTTCTAATATTTTACAAAAAACAAAATTATACTTTTTATGAGATCCTTATAATTTTTATAGTACGTACTTTCATATCTAGATTTAAAAAAAGGATAATTAAAAATATAATCTGAAAAAAATTATGTTTTCAAATGTATTTAACTATTCATCATAGAGATATGTGTAAATGAATACTTATTATCTCAAAGAATTTTCAAATCAAGTCATTGTTTTATTGTTTCTCTTTTCCTTTTTTAGATTTTAAGTAATAAACTTTCTAGATTAATCGGTGCATGCTCTGAAAAGATTACAGTTTACATAAAGGAAAGGATAATTTGTATTTTATTTTAAAAAAATTTCAATGTGAGTATTATTGCCTTTAATTCGATACTGTATCGGGTTTTTTTCTTCCTTTTCTAAACTGCATTTATAAAACGCCTGCTTTTTGGATTCAAACTAATACATTTTTATTAATTAGAGTTTTTTTTCTTTTCCTTTATGTGTTGTACGCTCTTTTGCCTTTTAACCAATTATTCAGACATTCTTCCTGAAATGTATATTTCTGCGAATAGAATTTTTTTTTTTCATAAAATGTTCTTAAGGTGACTAACTACGTTTGGACCATGATTTTGAAAAAGAAGAGAACTTTTTTGATATTTAGTGTTTTTTGAATTAGAATATTTACGTAAAATTTTTTAAAGATTATTTGGCAAAAAAGAAAGAAAAATTTACATATATTCAAAACAATTCTCATTTCATGGAAAATTCTTCTATAATAATGATATTTTGTTTATATATACAGCTTCTATATATTAACTGAACTAGGACTTTTGAAATAAATAATTTAAAAGTGTATTTACTCATTTTTTTATAAATCAAATTTTAACAAAAAACTTCGAATATTTCAATGGATTATAACTCTGAAAATATAATGTAAATTCTTCAAAACTTTTACTTCAGTCACTGTAAGAGAGGTCTTTATGATGTATAGATAAAATATTATCATTATACACTCAATAACAGAAGAACAAAGCACGATGCACCGAGAAGGAGTTACCTGATTGTAATGAAATTTCCTATGAAAGGACATTTGTACCAATCATGCAAATGATTAAATTTTGGTGTCCTATGAATGAATAGCTGGAGCATTCATTCATTGCTTCTTATAGACACTCAGCAGGTGTCTATAAGAAGCGATTCTCAATCTGATGGTGAAAATTTCTGTTGCATTGCGATATAGGAAACCTTTCAACGACTGAAAAAAATGTCTCGGCACAGGATTCGAGCTCATTAAGAGAAACTATTAGAGTTTAATAAAAGTCGTATCATTGAACTGAAAGAGGCATATTGGGCAAATTGGAGAAGCACTCGTCATATGGGTCGAAGAAATGCGGCTATTAGAAGATGCTAGCAAGAATGGGTGGATAATGGCAGATTTCAGAGCCATGATGATAGCGGTCGACCTAGGGCCACAACATATCGGAAGGATGGATTGACTGTCAGATTCAGCTGTCACACAGCCTGATTCATCATTATCAACCATCAGACATGTGACCATCAAACGAGTGTCCACCATGACCATTTGCAGACATCTGATAGAACGAACTTTACGCTCGTATCGAATCGACCACTACGCCACTTACGCATGCACACTGTCGAGTCAGAGTACAGTGGTACTTGGCTAGATCAGGTTGGAATCATGCTGACTGAGGACGTATAGTGTTTAGCGACGAATCCTGCTTCCAACTGTGACCTGACGATAATCGAAGACGTGTCTGGAGATGTCCAGGGCATCGTGCCGATCCTGCTTTCTTTATTGCACACAGGCCCTCAACCAGGAGTTATGGTCTGGGGTGCCATTTTTTATGACATCCGGATCCCTTTGGTCGTCATTAGGGGCACACTTACAGCACAGTGGTACGTCGACGACATTCTGAGAACTGTTTTGCTACCGTTTCTTTTGCAGTACCCTGGCCATATATTTCAGCACGATAATGTCAGACCACATACGGCACGTGTTGCTTTGAACTGTCTTACAGCTTGTTAAACACTTTCTTGGCCAGCCAGATCACCACATCTCTCTCCAATCGAGCATGTCTGGGATACGATGAGAAGGCGACTGCATCCACCAGGGAATGTTGAGGACTTGACCCGACAATTGGAGAAAATTTGGTAAGAAATGCCGCAGGAGACCATAAGGGTGCTTTATCACTCGATTCCACGTCGCGACGTGCCGCAGCTTACATCTATGCTAGAGGTGGGTCAACACCTTATTGAGCTCGTTATGTTGTGTGTAACTATGTAGCTCTTAAATGAACCATTCAATTTTTCTCCAATTTAAATCCTTTTTTTTATTCTGTACATAATCGTTCTACCCACCAGTTTTTATTACTATCGGACAATTCGTTTAGGTGAGGTTTTTTTTTTTTGTTATAAAGTGTGTGGAAGTATTTTTCATAAAATTAGAATGTTTTGAAACTATAATTTTCTTTTTTCATTTTTAGCCTAAAAGTTGCATTTAAATAACTTTTTCTTGTAATAATATTCTTAAAACAATTTTGTATGTATATTTCGATTTCACGCACACTAAATACCAAAAAATTTATTCATTTATGCGCTTCTTTCAAAATCACGGTTCCGAACCTTCACAGTCACCCTGCAGATTTATAATTTCTTGTCATCAGAGAAACGATGTAATGCGAAAAAATTACGCCAAACCAATGATGAAAAATTGCTACAAAAACCATAATAACAATGAAATGTTATATAACTTCCTACAACTACCTTCCATACATTTCAATCTGGTTACCATAATCACATTTTACAAAGTACCTGACTATTTTGCTTTGTCTATTTTACAAACACAATCCCACTGGGGAGGAGGCCCCTTTTCTGAGTGAAACACCCAAGCACTACTTCCAGAATCTCCTATGATATCGGAAGTTCTTACAAGGATCAAGGGTTCTCGAAGTGGCAATAAAAGCTGCCATAACCACCCATCACAATCTCCCCCCCCCGTCAGTTAAGGAAGCGTCAAGATCCCACTCGCCATGCGTATGTGTTTTACTTTATAAAAGCCATCGTGTTTTTACTTTTATTATTTTTTTAAAGAAATTACGGACAAGATCCGGAGTGAAGTAAATAAATAAATAAACCCCCTTCAAAACAGAAAGAAAGAAAAAGAGAGAATCCTGTTAAGAGCGAGACAGCACGTGCTCTGCCCGTAGAATCCCCCCCCCCTTATGACAGAACCACCCTGGTAATGGAGATGTGCACTCAAACTGATTAAGTCCACCTGCAAAATGTACGGGAACGTGCGCTTCTGCGATAGGGGGGAGTCTCTTATAAGTCTACTTTGGGGAAAGTTCTCTTGGTCGTGTTTTTGTTCGACTGTAGTTGCTGGTTGATTTTTTATCCCTTAATTGATTTTCGTTTAGCATATCGATATGGTTTATTAATTGGGGTTAATTACGTGGATCAAAAATTAGATTAAATTGCTAATTGATTAACGAGGCAGTGGCGTTTAACATTAAAGCAAATTCATTTTCATTTTCAGCACTAGCAGCTGCGTATCTCGTAATTTTACGATAAAATAATTTTCTTAAACTCCGCTTTTGCAGGTGGAACACATTTACTTATAAAAATAAAAGACAAATTACAAAAACAATTATATATATCTGTAATGAAAATTATGTTTTAATATTATTAGTTACCCCAAAATATCTATATGTTAATTTGCGAATAACTCTGTTTTGGTTTTCTTATCCAAAGTTTCATCAAGTTTATTTAAAGTTCTTTTTTCCACATGTGATCCTGATTTAATCTCTGTCTGTGAATATTTTAATGCTAGGAAGAGCTTCAATGCTGAAGATTTATTTTATTTTATTTTGTTTGGTGCCATTTTATAATTTTATCTTTATCAATTACAAGTAATATAAAACAATTAAGTCAATTCCTACTTAGGTCAACAATTTTATTTTAGCTACTTTTTGTTAAATAGTTACAATTAATATAAATTTGTATATACATAGGACAGAATCACACTATTAAACGACAAAATATTAGGCGATTTTCCTTGCAAAATTTTTCATTTTCCTTTCTATATAGGGTGTTGTACTATTATTTTTGTTTGTTACTATTTATTCATTTATTACATTTAATTATTTCAATAAAATAGTATAGTAAAAAGAAATCGCATTCTCTCAGAAATTAGGCCATCCAAGGAGGGATTCAAGCCCCCGACCCTTTGGATTAGAAGTCCAACGCGCTATCCATTGCGCTACAGGGACACTGAGGGATTTTCCTTTCCACCTATTGTGTTGGACTATAATTTTTGTTTGTTACTATTTATTCACTAATTAAATAGAATTAATGAATTCCTATTTGAAAAAACTGTATTAACATCAAGTGTTATCCACCATAAGTTGAAAAAAGGCATTTGAACTTGAGTGTATGAACAAAAAGTATTTTATTAACGAGTGAAAATTTGAACAAGATATTTATATTAATGTATGTAAATAAGGAGAATGTGAACTTTTAGTAGGAATTGAAAAATAGTTATATCTTCCAGACAGCTTTGGTACTGTACTAGAATTAGCATTATTAGTGGGAAAATTTCGAAAGATGCGCTTGCTGAATGTTAAAATGGTAGGAGAATGGGAAAATGCGTCCTCTTCAGCAGATCATGGTTCAAAATTTCCAGATCAGTCGCCAATAACATTCTCGCATTGCTATAGAATGTGACGCTAATAAAAACTCACTCACTTGGTGAAGGTGTGAATGTTCTATTTAAGGCGATATGGTACCATCTTCACAATTTTTTTTATTTTTAATATTTGATGTTTGGTTTCAATTGTATTTTATAAAGGTTAAAATTTAATAATAATTCCATACAAAAAATTTTTAGTTTGTTGCAAAATGTTTGTAAAATTAAAATTTTTCGAACTTTTTTAAAGATTTTTTAAATTTTTAAAGCTTTTTTAAAAATGTTTCTTTTCTTTCAAAATTTTTTCCAAGTACCTTATAATATCTTACATAAAACTGTGCATGGGTTTTTCTGCTATTGTTCTTTAATTTTTTTATTAATTATTTTTATAGTTAAACTTCCAAAAATTCTCAAAAAAAACAACAACATTAATTTTGATTTTGAAATTTTTTAAAAAAAGTACTAAACATGTTAGAGCTAATTCCATGCACAGTTTTACAAAACATGCATTTCAGAACATGTATACAAAATTTCAAACCCATACTTCAATTATCAAAAAAGCCTTAGGGTTTTGAATAACAGTACATGTACAAAAATTCAACATGGAGAAATTTGAGTTTCAAGTTTTCATACCATGATGTAATATTCATCGAATAGTCTGAAGCTTTTATGAAATGTTTATTAGTTTATTTAAAACTGCTTACATAAAAATTTCACAAATGTAGAACAATTAAAGAGTATACTGCCATAATGAATATATAGAAGAAAACGAATGAAAGATCAATATTTCATAAAACTTTATCTTAATAATTATAAAATAAATAAATACCACACTTCAGAGCTAATTCCATGCTCAGAGCTAATGCACAACATGTACAAAAGATGTTTATGCATTTATTTTTTATTTCCATGATTTTAAAAGCCTTCGCATGTTAAATATTGTACACGAGTGAAAGCAAAATCAAATAGCAATTTATAGGTAAAATATATCAAAATCTAAGAACTGCATATGTGCGTTTGTTTAAATAAATATCTTAAAATATTTTAATAATAAAAGTGTTGAATTTCACACACATGGGATATATATATATATATATATATATATTACCAAAAACAAATATATTAATATCGGAGATGTTTTCCATTCTTGCGAATTAGATTATATAATTATCAGAGTTATCAAAATTAGATTTAAGGTTTGTGCTTTGGGAGAATCCTTTTTGAAGTTTTAATTTCATTCATAATAATATCATAAAAAGCACGCACAACTGTTAAATCTTGACCAAATCCATTTGCTCTTCCCCCCAATAAACAATTCACAAACTAGAATTTTTGCATGAATTGCACAATTCTTTCTTGAAATGATTTGTTACTGCATATACGAGTAATGTCAGTCTAATTTACGCGCGATAGAAAAGTAATTAATTCATTTTTATCGGGTGTTTTTCTAGAAGATTATCTGAAATGTGGAAGTGGCAGTTTTGTTTAGTCTACTGTCCAGCATCAAATATTGCTCTGTAACTTGATAAAAAATGCAGGTAAAGGTTTGAAATTTTGCAGGCGTGTTTATAAAGATTCGAGGTATCAAATAAGCCAGTAAAAAAAATGTTTCGACAGTTTAAAGATTTTTATCGTCTTAATTCTCAGTAAATTTCTAGGATAGTACTTTCTCATTCTTGAAGAACTAAAGTTTTTGATTTATTGAAAGCATTTAAATTCTGTATTTGAAACACTCCCTAAAGATATATAGTATGATTTATAAAAAAATGCTTTGTTATTGACCATTACGTCTCTTGACGGTGTATTTTTACAACACAGTTCAATGTAAAAAATTTCATTACTTAAATGGAAGTATATAAACAAAAGAACACAAGAGCAAAAAACAATTTTTTTGAAAATAAACTTGCTTATCATTGGGTTAATATAATTATTACTAGCGAATTTATTTTATATATTCGATATGTTATTTGTTTTGATATATTTTATTTTTTTTATTTTAATTAAATAATAGTTAATTATCGAATTTATTTTATTTCTTCCAGTTTTTAAATTTTATTTTTCGTTATGTAATTTGCTTTTTTTTGTTTGTTAAAAAACTAAGTAGCCATGAAGCTATAAAAAAGGATTATACATACTGAAGTGCCAGGGAATGAGGAATAGCAAGGGCTATGTAAATTGTGTAGCGCTGCGCATCATTTATGCGCAAAAGAGGGTGCTGTGGTAACTACATATATAGCGCGTACTGTGGTTGTTCTGAATTAGTTGTTGGAATTGCCAGAATGGGTAAATTGCCTGATTTAGACAACTTCGATCGTGGACCAATCGTAGGTGCACGACGCATGGGTCATTCAATATCTAAAATCGTCAGACAGCTGGGATTTTCAAGGTGGATAGTATCAAGAGTATACCAAGAATACATGGATAGTGTACATAAAACTAGCAATCGGCCAAACTGCAAAGGATAATTAGCCTTGAAAGTGCGTGGTGAGGGACGACTCAGGCGTATTGTACGTAGCCAGCGAAGCCAAACATTAGCCCAATTTAACACCCAGTTGAATGACGGTGCCAGTCGTATAGTCAGTAAATGGACTGTACAACGCTCACTTAAGCTGTATGGGTTTAGGGAGCCATCGACCTACGAAAGTACCATTGCTCTATGCTCGCCATCGGGCTGCATGTCTTGCCACGGCAAGAGAGCACAGAGATTGGAGTGTAGAGGGCTGGAAACGTGTAGCATGGAATGATGAGTCTCGATTCCGACTACTTAATGCCAACGAGAGGAATATGGCGTCAGGCTCATGAAGCCATGGATCCTGCATGCCAGGTTGTAACTCTACAAGGGCATGCTGGCTCAATCATGGTCAGTGTTGTTTTTTCGTGGCACTGTTTGGGATTTTTGATACGTGTACCGACCTTCCTCAATGCAATTCAGTACGTAGAGTTGCTGAGTTATCAGCTCCATCCGCTTATGCTGTTCTGCTATCCACACGGTAATGGAGTTTTCCAGCAAGACAACTGTACCTCTCATAAGTCCCGGTTGGCTATTGGCTGATTGGATGAGCATTCCTCTGTCTTTTCTGTCATAAATTGGCCACCTAGAAGCCCAGACTTAAATCCTATATTGAGCATTTTTGGGATGTTTTGGAACAAGACGGGAAAGGCCATCACATAGCACCAACGATCCTTACTAAACTATGGACAGCTATAGCCAATATTTGGCAAGTCATTTCCGTGGAACGTTTCCAGAAACTTGTTGAATCTGTGCCTCGTCATGTGGTAGCCGTTATCAAGGCCAAAGGAGGCCCAACTCATTATTAGGTAGGTATCCCTAATTCAATGGCACTTCAATGTATATCTATAAGAATTCTCATATTGTTAAAAACAACATTTCAGCAAAAATATAACAAATATTAATTGATTATCAAGAAATTTCTGATGCTTCTTTGGAGGGTAAAATATATTTTAAAAATAGTAATTTAAAACTCTTTATGAGATGGAACTCTAATAGTTATGGCTTCCATTATTGTAAGGTTAAAAGATTTCCCCCGGATCATGCAAAATACTTAAGGTATTCGAACACGTTCGGAGAAAATTTTTTAAAAATAGCATACTAAAACATTATAAATGCCTTTTTAGGAATCAATACCAATAAATACTAATATTTAACTAACAATTTTTTAAAGAAAAAACTATCTATATTTTACAAAATTCACAGTTATAAGTGAAATTTTAACAAAATTTTTGAAAATTTTTAAAGCAATTAGAGAAAAAAAGCAATAAACTTAAATAAATAAAAGTATTTTTAAAACAAATTAGATGCTTTTATCTAGAGAATGAACTAAAATTTTAATGTTTATTAAAATTTTAGAAATGGTAGAGTAAATATTAGGAGAAATGCGACATTCTTTATGAAGTCGTTATTTAAAACTAACAGACCACAACTAAAAATTATTCATTAGAAAAAGAAATATTTTAGTACGTTCTCTAGAAAATAATATAAATATCAGGTTCAAAAAATTTTATAGAAATACATCGATAAAATTTTGAGTTATTAGACTCGCCATGATAGATTTTAAACAATTTAAAAGCTTTCTTCTGGTAGATTAAAGACCCACATCTGGATTTTTCTTATTTTATGAAATTGGCTGCAACTTGGTAGTGTAGAAACAAAACAAAGTATGTTTTTCAAAGCCAAAAGAGATAGCTCTATTGAATAAAATAAAAAAACAAAACACAAATATGTGCTTGGGTCATTTCAACGTATTTGGATTCCCAGAGAGTGCTTCCCTCAGGGGGCTCACCTTCTTTAGGTGAGTACGGGTGTCACAATCCCGAGGTGACCTAGTAATCTTTTCCTTTTACCAAGGGGTTTACTGTCTTTGGTAAACACGGGCTTCACGAACCCGAGGTACCCTAGTGATCCTTCTCTATTTTCAACCCTCTTTCTTATCATTCAATTCATTCTTTCTTTCACTTCCCGTCTAGACCACAAATATTAAAACAAATGTTTGGCGCAGTATAGCCGAAATCGGCTCTTGTGCCAATAAACCCCAAAATCACTCACTCACTCCCAGAGAGTGCTTC